TTATCCCTCACTACTTCATGCCAGGATTTCTGTATGGCTTTTAGCTGACCTTCTAAATAGGAAACTCTCAGCCAGCCAATCCAATTTGCAAAATAAGTGGTCCTAAAAAAACAGCCTTCTAATAAGTATTGAGCACCTACTATAGTGGACACTGAAGTCTAAGCACCTTTGCCTGGCTTTCAAAGCACTTTATAATCTGGTTCCACTTTATCATCTTATTTCCCTAAAAACCCTAGTGATTGGCCTGGGATTTAATAGAACTAATTTCATTATCCCAAGAATAAGCCATATTCACTGTGGCCACCAAGCCTATCACATTCTGGAAAGCCCTTCCTAATTCTTCCATCTTTTCAAATCCTCCCTGTCCTTCAAGGCCAAGTTCAAGTAATGTCTATGCTGTGAAGCATTCTCTGAATACACTACCGTTGATGCTGTCCCTCTCCTACAAACTGAAAGTATGTCCAGAATATGTCTCCTATCCTCCCTCCACTGCCACCACCCTGATCCAAGCCTGGATTGCTATCCCAATCTCTCAAGAGGTTTTCCTGCCTCTGCCCTTGTCTCCCAATAGCCTTGTCTCAGCCCACCATCCAGAGGGATTATTTTAAAAAGTAAGTCATTCTGCTCAAAACCCTGCAGTGGCTCCCCACGTCACTTATAACAAAAGCCCCCGTCTGCCCCACAGCTCCCACCCCACCCAGTCACTTCTCCGTCCCCTCTTGTATCTATCTGCCCTTTACTCACTCTGTTCCCACCACACTGGCCTCCTGCTGTTCTTCCAACATTCCACACATGCTCCTTGCCTTAGTGCTTTTGCTTCTTCTGCCCTCTTAGCTGACTCTCTCAGCTCCTTTTCATTTTTGCTCAGATCTTACCTTCTAGGGAGGACTACCTTGACCCCCTATTGAATTATCTATTCTCCCCACTGCCCTTCCCCTCCCCCTGCTCTACACTTTATTTCTAAAATACCCTATAATGTATTTATTTATTTATTGCATTTATTGTTTATTGTCCACTTTATCCCACTAGCATATCAACCCCACGAGGGTAGAGATCTTTGCCTACTTTGCTTCCCCACTGGTATATACCAAATGCCTAGAACATGCTCTATGAATAGCAGGGCTCATTAATAGTTGTTAAAGTGAAATAATAAAATTCTCTAACCTTTTTGGTCTGTATCACATTATTTAGCCCTTAATTAGAGAAATACCTGATATTATTTTCTGTTTTATATGTTCCCTAGGCTAAATTATGTAGTCAACTGAGGGTAAGACCCAGGTTTTATTCTCTTCATTATTTCACAAATATCTAACAGCAATTTTCAACCTTTTTCATCTCATGGCACACATAAACTAATTACTATGCAGTACACCTAAAAATATGCTATATTTTTTGCCAATCTCACAAAGAATATAGGTATAATTTTGATCCATTCACACTGGATGGCTATTGTTGTGTTGGCTGTTGTGTTTTTATTTGACAGTCTAAAGGAAAAGAGGTCAGTGCTTCTGACTAAATAGTCAGGGTATTGCATGTTTTAAAAATTCTTGCTGCACACCAGTTGGAAATGGCTGATCTAACACATAATAGGTATCTAATAAGCTTTTGTTGACTTACTAATACAAAGCTGATCTCCTGCTTTACCTTGGCAGCTCCTGAGGTCAAGCACTGGAATGTATTTAGTAAGTACAAACAAAAGTTTAGTGTAAACTAAATACTAGTCTAAAACCAATGCTAATATAAACAAACAAACAATACTAAATATGCTAAACACAGGTACAAACATATCTTGAATTACCTATTGCTTACAGTTATTTGCACCATGCCCTTTCATTGGTTTGAATATCATTAGTTGAGTATCTTTCAATGTTACTTTGAATGTCATAAATTTGTGAATTATCCAAATGCCTGGCTTCTTCTGCAAGTCTGCCTACTTTTTTTAAAATTCTTTATTGTTTCAAGTATTACATGAGTCTCCTTTTTCCCCCGTTGACCTCTCCCCTGCCACCCCCACCCCCAAGCACAAGCCCTCAGCCCCCTACTGTCTGTGCCCATTGGTTTTGCTCATATGCATGCATACAAGTCCTTTGGTTGATCTTTTACCCCCTCACTCCCTACTTTCCCTCATAAGTTGTACAGTCTGTTTGATGCTTCTATATCTCTGGCTCTATTTTTGTTCATCAGTTTATGTTGTTCATTATATTCCACAAATGAGTGAGATCATGTGATATTTATCTTTCTCTGACTGGCTTATTACGCTTAGCATAATGCTCTCTAGTTCTGTCCATGCTGTTGCAAGTGGTAAGAATTCCTTCTTTTTTACAATGGCGTAGAATTCCATTGTGTAGATGTACCACAGTTTTCTAATCCACTCGTCTGCTGATGGGCACTTAGGCTGTTTCCAAATCTTAGCTATTGTAAATTGTGCTGCTATGAACATAGGGGTGTATAAGTCTGCCTACTTTTTTAAACTTCTAGTATTCATTTAAATTTCCAAGAGACTAATTTTCTAACAGTGCTAAGAAAAATAACTTATTTAATTACTAACTAATATTCAACATTTAAAGCACTTAGAGCTATACCTGATATGTAATAGGTGCCTAACAAATGTTAATTTTGTCTTCACACACTTAAAATGTAAGTTACCACTTTGGGATAATACAGGTTTTATTATCCATGCTTTCTAAAGTTTTCTATTATCAGACTTATTGTTTACCCTCTTATAATCTTTTCCTTAGCATTTTTCAAAACATTTAGATATTATCTGATATATATTATTAATCATAGTTCCAGAAGAATGAAAGGTTTAATTTCTTATTTTGGCAAAGAGCCAATGGCAAAACTTAGTAATAGAACAAGAGTTCTAGTATTTTTCAGATGTTCTGGGCATGTGAACACAATGGCTCCCCTTGCTTCTTTTAATTAAGTCACTTCTTTTGGAAAACGTAAAATATTTATTGCTCTTATGTTTTTGCTTGCATTAGCAATTAAATATTTTTAATGTAATATCATTGGATATTATTTTGCTATTGTCTTGTACTTTACATAAAACTCTGCCTTTATTTTAGTGTGTGTGTTTTTTTTTAATTGTAGGCCTGTTATATTAGATGTCTGGGCAAGTTTGCTTAGTTGACTAAAATATGATGCTAATAAGGACCAAAAGTGTGCATTGGACATAAGTATGGCCAGAGTTACATAGAAATCTTTGTCATTGATACAGGCCACATCTCTAGTCAATTACATGATACAAATAATTGACCCAGGATAAACCAATTCAATTTGCAAGTGTATGTCCTATGTAAAATCTATTCATCTTTGATATTATATTCACTTATTTGTTATCACTTAAGTTGTTATCAGGTAATATAAGGAGCATGCTGGATGATAGAGACAGGTATCTTTTCCTTATAATACTTTTATCAATAATAATTCAAATCCTAATCATCCCACTGGGCCCTCATAATTCAAAAGCCATATCTACCGTGAAGTTATTCTCAATTATTTCAGAACACGTTAGTCTCCTCCTCCTCCTCCCTATTTCTAGAGCACTTATTGTTTCTATCACTACTTTGATCTCTATACTTTTACTAAACATCTTTCACCTTGGTAACTTCTAAAGATCAAGAACTATAATTGTAATGTATTTCTTGTGAGGCCTAAAAAATACCTTGAACATAGTATTAAACAATTGGGTATCTTGATTTGAAATGGTTTTGATTTTATATTACTGAATGAGCATAAATTGAGATTAAGATATTGAGAAATAAAAATTCCAAAGAAAGTGAAACAGGGAAAGCTTTTAAAAAGAGAAACACCAGAATAAAATATAATGATAATTCTTCTAAGAAGCAAGGTTTTTAAAATAGATTGTTGATCCATTTATTGACAAGATCATCTTTTCCCCAGTATACTGAAGTGGCATTTTTGTCATAAACCAGATGCCTATGTAACTGTTGGATTGATTCTGGACTTGCTCTTCTGTTGCATTGGTCTATTTTTTCTATTTTTGCACAAATTAATATGTTGTCTTAATTACTGTAGCTTTATAATTGGACTTAATATCTGGTAGTAGAGTCCTCCAGCATTGTTTTTCTCTTTAAAGTTGCCTTGGCTATTGTTGGTCCTTTGAATTTCCATAGAAATTTAGACTCAGCATGTCAATTTTCACACAAAAATGGTAGGATATTGAATAAATTTTTTCTGAACTTATAGATAAATGTAGAGAGAATTGACAGCGTTACAATAATGAGTCTTCCAATCTGTGAACATGGTATATTTAAATATTCTTTCATTTTTTTCAATAATACTTTTGAGTTTTCAGTGTAGAGATCTTACACATATTTTGCTAGATGTTTTCCCCTGGGTATTTGAGGTTTAATGTTATTGTAAAAATCATTTTTAAATGTCATTTTTATTTGTTGTTGGCTTACACAATTAATTTTTAAATATTGACCCTCTTTACAGCAACTTTGCTAAATTCTCTTAACTGCAATGTTTTTTATACAATCACATCATGTGTGAATAATATTATTTTTCTTTTTTCTTTTCTAACCCTCATGTCTCTTTTCCCCTGTTGTATTAGATAGGATTTCCAATATATTGTTATTCCTGATTTCAGAAGGAAAGCTTTAAATATTTTAGCATCATACATGATTGCTACTTTAGGTATTTTGTTTGTTTTTTATAGATATTCCCTATCAGATTAATGAAGTTCCCTTTCCTTCCCAGTTAAGAAGTTTGTTTTTTTTAAATCATGAATGAGAGTCAAGTTATATCAAATGCTTTAATATAGAATATTTTTGGTAATGCTATAATAGCTCAGGAGGAAGGTCTAAAATATGAAAAATGTTTACTCTGGACATTTTAATATCACATTGTAAAATGTTTTAAGATAATACGTAGTATTACTTGTTAAAAAAACAAAAAATGGGCCAATAACCACTAGCCATCTGGCTACATCTGTTTTGACACTTTTGTTCTTAGTGTTTGTTTCGCTTACGACCATTGTCTTCTCATTAACAGTGTTTGGCACAGTAAATTGAAAACAAAAGAAGAAACAGAAGCATAGTGTATCACATAATTTTGCCAGACTAAAAAACTCTAAGTAAGATAGTGCCTTTCCCTTCTATGATAATTTCAAGCTATTAGAGGTAGTAAAGCATTATTTAAAACCTCCTACCCATCCTGGTTGCAGGAGGTCCTTTACAATGTTTGAGAGGTGGACACACCAAAGAGAAACAATACTTTGGCAGATCTTTAATGGTTTCCTCTTTTTTGACTAGTTACAAACTTCTGGAGCATTCTTTTTATTTTTTTCCCTTTCCATTCAGTCTCCCTCTCTCATTTTTATTCCCGTATCACTGCAAAGCCAAAACCAAAATGTGAAGAGGGAGCTAGCCAGGAGGAAACATTCCAGTTCCTTTTTTCTGACCTAAGCACTATTCTTCATGTGCTAGCAGGCAAAGTAGGGATTTTCTGCTAAACCAGAGCAACTAACTGTTCAACAGATTGGGCCTGCATCTTAATTAGGTTATGAATAGTAAATCTCCCTTTAGAAACATGTAAAGATAGTTTCAGCAGAAGAAGCAAGTTTAACTATATATAGGGAGCAAGAGGACATGCATTTCCAGCTAAGGAAGAAGAAATGGAGGAGGGCATGATCCTGTCATCTTGTCTCCTGATATCTCAGGAGTGGATTAGGCAAGCTATCTAAACAGCATGTGGCCATACAAGAGAAACAGGTACATATGGTAAAGGGCAAACATGCAAAGGATGATAACTGTATGTTTAGGAAACGAAAAAAGTTACAAACTGCAACATAGGTTAGACGATTATTTCACAAACTGTATTCCATCAAATGTTAAACTTCTCAAATATTGCATACTGTGCCCTCTCCTCTCTTGTATTTTCTCATGAATTATTAGTCTAAGAAGTCCCACAGTAAACCTATTTAACCTTACTTGACTAGCATTTCCTAAATTTACTTGCCCACCAAAATTTTTTTTCTTTTTAATTATTTTAAAAGGAACATCATTAACATATGTATAACACAGTTGGGGAAATGCCAGATAAGACTTAGACTTTCCTGGCTACAAAAGAGCAATTAAGCAATGGAATAAGTAACCAAGAGAAGCTGTGTACTCTCCTTTTCCAGAGGCCTTTAAAACAGGACATCTGTTTTAGGCGTAGTCCTGTTTGAACAATGGGACTATACTGGTGTTTCTTCCTCTTCCTGTCCCCTAGTGGTAGCATTGGAGGCTTTTAGTCCACCTTTTACATGATTCTAGTACTTTGGTTATTAATAAGTGCAAAAATGACCACTGTTACCAATAATTATATTTATTGAGGACTTATTCAGTGTCTGGCCCTCTGCCAGATACAGGAGACAGAAAACCTGGATTCTTAATCAGCCTCTAACCAACTGTGGGCAAATCACTATGCCTCCTTTTCTTCATCTGTCAAATGAGGAATTTAGGTTATCTCAAATAGGCCATTTCTGCTCTAATATTTCAGGATGATTTTTGTCTCTGGATAGCAGCTCTTAAAATGGGAGAAGAATTTAAAAATTCTGAGGTCAATTTACACTGCAAAATGATTTTCATGAACCAATAAGGAGGGGCTGGATAAATAAGTTGGAACTATATTTACGAGTTCTAAGGTATCAAACTGAAACAAATAAGAAGATATTTTAAAAAGTCATTTATTGCCTACCCGGTTTGGCTCAGTGGATAGAGCGTCGGCCTGCGGACTGAAGGGTCCCAGGTTCGATTCCAGTCAAGGGCATGTACCTTGGTTGCGGGCACATCCCCAGTGGGAGGTGTGCAGGAGGCAGCTGATCGATGTTTCTCTCTCATTGATGTTTCTGGCTCTCTATCTCTCTCCCTTCCTCTCTGTAAAAAATCAATAAAATATATATATTTAAAAAATAAAAAAAATAAAAAGTTATTTATGGTCTCTGAAAGGGCACTTCCAACAAGACCACTAAGTTTTAGAGAATATATGAAAGGCTTTTTTCTGGCACCTATTATTGTTGCACAGCTTAACACATCTGTCTAATGAAGCTTTTATTTGAGAATTATTCTTCAAAGTACATCCCAGCCTCCTGTACCTGATACATCAAATGTATTCAGTTTAGAAAGTTAAGTGTGCAGCCTTGAAGTTTTAAATCATCTGGGTAGGTAACCCAGTTCTACAATTTAGTTAACTGTGTTCTTAGACAAATTACTTACTTCCAAATCTGTGCCTTAGTTTCCTCTTCTTTAAAGAAAATTATAAGTGTACCTACCTCATAGGGATGTTGTGAAGATTAAATGGGATGATTCAAATGCTGTATTTAGCACAATACTTAGCAAAGATTTGGGGATCTATTAATATTAGCTAATATAATTATTAACACGTTAAGCGCCCTGTCAGTCACCGGTAACTCACACTATACTTTCCGTCCCGAAGACAAAACAGGCTGGGCGCTTAACGTGTTAAGGACACGCAGCATTTCCCCAGATATTCTAATAGAAGTTTTTCTTTTCATAAGGGACAGCATAAAACACCAAAGGGAAATTAGATAGTTCTGGTGCTTGATTTTATAATCTAGCATCTTTTCTGACCTGCTGCTTCCATACTCCCAAATAATGCTGCCTTTCAGATGAGAGAAGTTACTTTATTTTTGCATATTGGTTGTATTTTTGTTTGAAGTGCTTTGTACTTTGGAATATTGTGTAAAGTCTGCTCACTGACTATAATATAGTTTAAAGCCAAGTTTGAAGGTCTAAGATAAAGGTCACATATTCATGTCCTTCCTCACAATGTCTGCCTAGAGACTTTGGCCTTCTTGAAACACACTGAAGGTTGTGAAATTGATAGATACACCCTGATGCAACACACTCCTGTCACCCAGCTGGAAAGTTAAGACACTGTTACTTATCCCTGAGAAGGGCTGTTGTTCATCCTAATATTTCGCTAATTTATTCTTTCATGGGTAATTGCATGGAGTAACAAAAAACACCTACTCAACTTACAGCTTGGCAGAAACAGTAGCTTATGTTTTCTAGAGACCAAATTAGAAGCAGGCTCCCTGGATCCATCTCTAAGTCAAAATAAAATAAAATGTCTAGGGAACCACTGTGCCTCCCAGTAAACATGGTCCATGAAATAATATTGTTTAGGTCAAGATGTCCTAGAATAAGAGGACAGGGAGAAGGAAAGGGGAGGGAAAATATGTATTTGAGTAATATGTTTTCATAGAAACGAACAAGAAAGCTGTTTTTCTTTCTTACTTTGTCTTTTCTACATAGAAAAAGCAAACAAACTTTATAGGACCCTAATCTTCCTCCTGCAATTATCAAAAAAGAAAAAGAAAAACTGAGTATACATTGTGGAGGGGAAGGATTTTAGCTTAAATTGTATTTTATTTATAATATTGAACATTACCATCTTTTCTGGGGAGCTTAAGTCTTAGCAAAACTAAACCATTGAGAAAGTACCTTTATTCCATTTTCACAGAAAAAAAATGAATACTTATCTACTTTTCTCTATAAAATATGCTCATTCTATTGGCAAGCATTTAGTAAACAACTGTGCATAGGACTAAAGGGAAAACAGAATAGTAAGACACTGTCCTTTTGCTCCAGAACTTGAAATTGAATGGTGGAGATATTTATCCAAATAATTATATCAGAGTTAAAAGACAAGTATAAAATGCTGTGGGAATACAGAAAATGGAGAGTATTTTTAGGTTGGAGCATTTATGGAAGGTTTCATGGAGAAAGTAGCATTTGGACTATTATGGGATTTCCCACTATTGTTGGAAAGACAGATTGTGAAGTGCAGCAGTGAGGATGGGAAGAAGATAGAGCAGCCTCAGCATGAACAAAGATGAACAGACTAGAAAATGCAGAGCATGTTGAACGTGGTCAGAGTAGAATATGCCTCACCAACCACAGGCTGTACCAAGAATGGGAGTGAGGGGTGGGATCACTAGGCGAAAAGATCACTAGTGAAAAAATTAAGTCAAGGCCATGTCGGGGAGCGCCTTGAATGCCAAGCCAGGACATTTTAATTTATTATGTCGGTCACAGCTTCTCCTGCTTTCCCACTGATATGCCCTTAGTAGAAGAGGACAGCAAAAACATAGCATTCTTGGGGTGGGAATGAATAGGTGGACGTTGAGGGCAATGAAACTATTCTGTATGATACTGTAATGGTGGGTACATGACATGCTTTGGTCAAAACCCATAGAATGTGCAACACAGAAAGTAAACCCTAATATAAACTGTGGACCTTAGTTAATAATAATGTATCAATATTGGTTCATCAATTAGTAACAAGTGTATCACACTAATGCAAGTGTTAATAATAGGGGAAATCCAAGTTAATAATAGGGGAAATTGTGAGTTTCGGGGGTGAAGGGAAGGGAGAAAGGGGAAAGAGTATATGGGAACTCTGTACTTTCTGTTCAATTTTTATGTAAACCTAAAATCACTCAAAAATAAAATCTTTTTTATCTTTAAATCCTCACCCAAGGACATTTTCATTGATTTTTAGAAAGAGAGGGAGAATGGCAGGGAGGGAGGGGGAGAGAGAGGGAGAGAGAGAGAGAGAGAGAGAGAGAGAGAGAGAGAGACTGAAACCTCTGGCATGTGCCCCAACTGAGGCTAAGGATCAAACCAGCAACCTAGATATGTACCCTGACTGGGAATCGAACCCACGACCGTTCCGTGTATGGGGACAACGCTCCTACCAACTGAGCCACACCAGCCAGGAAAAGTCTATTATTTTTTAAAGCCCTAGCTGGTTTGGCTCAGTGGATAGAGCGTCGGCCTACGAACTGAAGGGTCCTGGGTTCGATTCCAGTCAAGGGCATATGTCTGGGTTGTGGGCTTGATCCCCAGTATTGGGGGCATGCAGAAGGCAGCCAATCAATGATTCTTTCTCATCATTGATGTTTCTATCTCTCTCCCTCTCCCTTCCTCTCTGAAATCATCAATAAAAATATATATTTTTTAAATCATGTGTTCATGAAATATGCAAGTACAATTTTTTAGGAGTTTCATATTATATCTTTAAAATAACATGAATTTTATTCTATTCATTTATGCATAAGTGGGCATTTTAAGATTAAAATTTTCCCCAAACTTTTCATTAAAATCCATGACCCATAAGGATATGATTCCTGTATTAAGAAGCATGGCTTTGGTTGACAGGGAGTCACTGAAGTCACATTGAAAGTGAAAAAAGCCCCAGCTCGGTAGCTCAGCTGGTTGGAGCATTGTCCTGTGCACCAAAAATGATTGCAGGTTCAATTTCCTGCCAGAGCACATACCTAGGTTGTGGCGCATATGGGAGGCAATGGATTGATGTTTCTCTTTCACATCAAAGTCTATCTCCCTCTCAAATCAATAAACATATCCTCCAGTGAGGATTTAAAAAAAAAAGTGAAACAAAACTAAACCAGTAAATTAATGAGCAACTAATTTTTCTTGCAACACAGATATTTTTGCATCCTTATTTTTATTTCCCAGTGTTCATACAGAGGCATATACAGTACCTTTAACTCACTTAGTGAACCTTTATTTTGTTTACAATAAGTATAATGAGAAGTAGTTGATAAACCAACTTTTATGGATAGTGCAATTGAAACAAGAGAGATATATTTAGATATGAAAGTAATTTATACTAAGAAAAATGTGAAATAAGCCTGCTGAGGAGATAGGCAAAGTAAATGGAATGGCTTAGGTTAGGTAGGTTTAGATGTATTTTATTGATTTCAGAGAGAGGAAGAGGGAAAGAGAGATAGAAACATCAATGATGAGAAAGAATCATTGATCGGCTGCCTCCTGTATGTCCCACAGTGGGGATCGAGCCCGAAAATCAGGCATGTGCCCTGACCAGGAATCGAACCCTGATCTCCTGAGTCATAGGTGAATGCTAAACCACTGAGCAACACCGGCTGGGCTTTTTTTTTTTTTTTAATTTTAGAGAGAGAGAAACATTGAAGTGAGAGAGAAACATGGTTCAGTTGCTTCTCATATGCGACCTGACCGGGGATCAAACCTGCAACCTAGGTATGTGCCCTGACCAGGAATTGAACCAGCAACCTTTCTATGCATGGGACAACACTCAACTAACTGAGCCACACTGGGCAGGACTAGATATATTTTGAGACAAAGAATTCAGTTTGATGGGTGCCCCTGTCATTGAGAGCATAAACTTTTGACTAGATGTCATTGAGACCCAGCATGACCTTCAAGCTATCACCAGTGCACATTCCTCTTTTTGTTGTGTAGTGTTTACACTGTAACACAGATAACTTAAGGTTGTTTGGGTACTTATTTATGTAGATATTCAGAATGTGAACCCAAACTGTGCCTAATGATTCCTCATGGAGCCACTGAAGCACATTCACAGGACTAGGCTCCTCATTTGTGTTTTCAAGGCACTTTGTTTTTCTTATGAAGACCACAACTGGAATCTTTAACCTCATGCAGAACTCAGCCTTTGAGAGTGAATTCCTTAGCTCTCTGCTTGCTGGGAAAATACAAGACACCCATTCCCAGATATCCTTAGGAGAACAGCTCTTCCTGCATAAACTATTTTCATCAATGAGAGACTATATACAGAACAGGGTTTCTGGATCAGTCTTGAGTTTGAATTCTCTACTTACTAGCTGTTGGACACTGGACAAGTCACTGTACTTTGTAGTCCTAGCCTACCTGTCTCTAAGTGGGGATAATATCTTGGGTTACATGAAGTAAAAGGTAGAATTTGTCTTTTATGTGCAAGGTACTCAAATATTAGTTTGTTTTCCTCTTTTCCTACCTTTTATGCTAAAATTCCATCAATTCATTTAGTATTTAAAAATAAATGTTTAAGGAGAACCTACCATGAGCCAAGCAAGCTCTTTGCTAGGAGATAGGGATATAATTGCAAATAAGACAGGTAAGCATATGATTTCAGGTGTCCTAGAATTTTTGAGCAATTCATTTCTTTGCCTCTAACAGCAATCTCAAATTCCCACACCTCTCTACTGGTATTTTTGACCAAGGAGTTAACATTTAAAATACTTGTGACTGCCCTCACCTCAGTGGATAGAGTGTCAGCCCAAGGACTGAAGGGTCCCAGGTTGGATTCCAGTCAAGGGCATGTATTTCGGTTGCAGGCAGATCCTTCAGGCACAATTCACATGATCTCTGGCCCCAGGGCAGCATGTAGGAGGCAACCAATTGATGAGTCTTTCTCACACATCAATATTTCTCTCTTTCTCTCTCTCTCTCTCTCTCTCTCTCTCTCTCTCTCTCTCTCTCTCTCTCTCCTTCCACTCTCTTTAAAAAGATTAATAAAAAATATCCTCACCTTAGGTGAGGATTAACAAAAAAAATAAACACATACATACATACATACATACATAAATAAATAAATAAAATACTTGTGACTGCTTTTTTGGCACCACTTTAATAGTGAACTGGTTTCAGGTAAACCGAGTCAGACAGGTTCCCATTGTGTAAAGGTTTAAAGTTTACCCACTTGAATCACTCACAAATCCACATTAAATACTTAGAACCAAAATCTCTGAGGGTTTTATTTCACTTACTGTGACCACAAAACATATTTAGAAAAATGCATTTGGCATCTTAAGCAGGCAACTCATGAAACAAGTTATTCTGTTGCCTTAGAATCCATATCAGTGTTTTTATCTTTGTGTTGTTGTTTTTTTTAATGTTTCCTTGTTTTCATTTTTGTTTTGTCTTGGGGGTGGTTTAAAATGAATTCTGGGCCAGAGTCTCATTTTAACATTCCCTCATTGATATTCAAATATGTTTCACATATCTCTAACCTCTCTGTTCTCAATATGGGGAATGCTTTCTCCTCTTTAAGGAAAACTGTATACACAGAAAACATAAATATTTGAGTGTTTTCATAGCACAGAAGGGATTTCTCTTTTTTAAAAGATTCATTTTGGTGTTACTTTTAAGAATAAAATTATGTTATAATACAGTTAAAGAATAAATTATTTATGTATATATATTTTTATTGATTTCAGAGAGGAAGGGACAGGAAGAGAGAAAGAGAAATATCAGTGATGAGAGAGAATCATAGATCAGCTGCCTCCTTCACGCCCCACACTGGGAGTCGAGCCTGCAACCCAGGCATGTGCCCTGACTGGGAATCGAACAGTGACCTCCTGGTTCATAGGTCGACACTCAACCACTGAGCCATGCAGGCTGGGAAAGAATAAATTCTTATCTAAATTTAATATACCAACTTTCTGCCGCACAAAAACATTATAAACATGAATAGAAAAGCAAAATTTTCATCCTAAAGAGAAAACTATTTAGGATCTCTAATTTCAAGAAAGTAAATTTGTCCCAGAACTCTATGCTCTTTAAAAATTAACAGACTTGATTGATGACCTTCTGTAGAAGATAAGGAGGGCAGGGCTGTCTGTAGGACATTTTCATGGAGTACACTATACATGTTGATACTGTTACAGGGTTCTCCACTGTGATATCCAGCTAAGCGATGACTTCCTTTAATAAAACATATTGGGCAGCACTAAGAAGGTGGTTGTGTTCTCTTCTCCAGATGAAATCACATTACCAAACATTCTTTCAGTTCCCTTTCTACATATCTTTAGAGGATTGCTCTGTCCTCCAGGACCAACTTCATAGCTATGCTTTTTTTCCATTTCAGAAATTACAATGGTTGACACAGAGATGCCATTTTGGCCCACCAACTTTGGAATCAGCTCCGTGGATCTTTCCGTAATGGATGACCACTCCCACGCCTTTGACATCAAGCCCTTCACCACAGTTGATTTCTCCAGTATTTCCACTCCACACTATGAAGACATTCCATTTGCAAGAGCTGACCCAATGGTGGCTGATTATAAGTATGACCTGAAGCTCCAAGATTACCAAAGTATGATGTTTATTTTCACTTTTCAGAGTACTAAGACTAGCATTGGACTCAATAACACTGGAGTAAGTGCTCCAGAGACTAAAACTCTATAGAGAAGACATTTACCATTAATCTATTCATCCACATATCCATGAAATATTAGGTATTTACGATATACCGGAAAGGAAGGCAGTGTGTTAATCCCCCAGATCATTCTTTCCTTTGTCCCTTCTTCCTTTCTCTCCTCTTTTTTTCTTTTTTGGTTCTTCTTAGGAGCATTACCCAGTATGATTATATTGCCAGGTATATATCAGGCTAAGAGTCCATCACCCAAACTTTGAATTCTTTTGAATACTTATAAGTTAATAAGTAACAGCGTGCTACCTTATTATCACCAAATTACTAAATTATAATCCAATTTTTTCTAATTCTGCCATTTGAGAAGCTTACACTGAAACCTGAACTGGTAAGGGAATTAAGCCTGTGGTTCTGTGACCCTCCAACACCCGTAATACTAAAGCTCTAACAGACAACATATAGTATTTGAGACAATTAAGGTTATTTTATAAATAACACAAATTTAAATTTTGACAAGTTGGTCTATTGATAAATCTTCATACCATTAACTCAATTCACATCGAAACATCAGACTTAAGAAAAATTAAAACTGCACTTTTCGAGAAAACAAATTTCTGTGATGCTATTTCCTTGATTTTTATCTCTTTGTGTACTGATATGCTGGTTTCCCAAAGCCACCACTATGTAATTGGTAACCATTACTTGACAATAAGAACTTCATGTATTTCTAGTGTGTTTTTTTAAGATAAATAATATACTTGGTTATATTAATATGTGTGGTTTTCAGTTAGAGCCTAATACGGAAATTTAATAGCCCTATTCTTAACCAGTGGGAAAGTAGTCCTTAATTTCCATAGGTTGTTTCATTCTCTATCAAAGATCATTTTACAAACCACCTTTTCTGACTCAACACTGATGGTAACCTGGTCTCTTATTTTTTATGTTCCTTCTGTGTGTCTTTTGCAAGAGTGGTTTAAAAATATTTCTAAAATGCAACATTGAAATTAAAATACACAATTTAATATTGTGAAAATGCCAAGTACAGCATATTACATAGTAAAATAACCTTGATTGTCTCAAATACTATACTAGTATATGGGGTGCTGGAGGGTCATAGAACCACAGGCTTAATTCCCTTCCCAGTTTTATTTATACATTTGAAGCTCAAAGATGCTGTGACTTGCCCATGCTTACCAAGCCTACTTTTCCTATGGTCTTTTCATGTTCCATAGTGGTTCTACACTTAAATAATAAAAATATGGCATTAAGGTGTACCATAGTGACTGACCCTATTGCCTTTTTAGTATTGTTTTTCATGTAATAATGACCTCCCATTTCTCTATACACAGATGCAATCAAAGTGGAGCCTGCATCCCCACCATATTATTCTGAAAAGGCTCAACTATACAATAAGCCTCATGAAGAGCCTTCCAACTCCCTCATGGCAATTGAATGCCGTGTCTGTGGAGACAAAGCTTCCGGGTTTCACTATGGAGTTCATGCTTGTGAGGGATGCAAGGTAAAAAGTAATTTTCTTCTTTCTTCAAAGAATTTGTTGAAAATTTACCTATTATTTCATTTCCTATTGCAAACATATGACAAGGAATTGAGATAAAATTGTCAAACTTTTTAAAAACCCACTACTCAAATAATATAATATTTGAAAACCTAAGAAAATTAATAAAAGCAGGGATACTTTGCCTCACTTTTCTTCCTCCAGATTGGTTCTAGAAGGCACTGATCTAATTTAATCCTTATATCTTGCAGCTTTTGTTTTTTTAAGTGACTTGATCAAGGGATCAAGGCAAGATACTGATGAACTGGCCCAAAACCCAGATTTCTAAATTTTCCAGTATTGTTGTTTTTTCACTGTACCATGTAATATTTTATATATGTAAGGCTTGACAGATCTAATAGATAGATAGATAGATAGATAGATAGATAGATAGATAGATAATAGATAGATAGACAGATAATCTTCATTTGAGCCTTAGAACAGTCCTATAAGGTTGAGCTTATATATGGCCACTAACAGATGTCGAAATTATGAATAAGTGAAACTTTCCCATGGTCATCCATTAGTAAATGGCAGAGCTAGGACTCCTAAACCAGTGCTCTGTGTTTTCTTATTCCAGCATCAATTGAGTCACGTATTATTATGGGCAGGTAAAGAGATAGAACTATTTTGGAAAGGAGATACTATTTCTCTTCACCCTTTTTCTTTGTGAAAAGGGGAATTTTGCAAAGTTCAAATATTTAGTAATATTATGCCCAAGCATTAAAAAAAGTTAATCAACTCATATTTTCACATGTAGTCTTTTTAAATAATTAATTTTAATTTACTAAGTGAATAAAATAATAATAGAATAGTTTTTATTTTTTAAATATATTTTTATTGATTTCAGAGAGGAAGGAAGAGGGAGAGAGGGAGAAGCATCAGTGATGAGAATCATTGATCAGCTGCCTCCTGCATGCCCCCTACTGGGAATCGAACCCCCAACCCGGGCATGTTCTCTGACCGGGAATCAAACCATGACCTCCTGGTTCATAGGTTGATGGTCAACCACTGAGCCACGCCAGCTGGGCTAGAATAGTTTTTATTATATACTCCAGGGTTCAGAATAAATTGTTCATATTTACCTTATAAAGTAAATGTTTAGCTTTTATAAAATTTTAAATATTTTGTATTTTGTATATTTTCTAAACATAATATTATAAGTATTTATCTTATAAAATAAACACTGCTTATATTATATGAGTCAGATTTAATCCAGGGTTGGGCTTTTTTATTCAGCCCTAGCCAGTTTGCTCAGTGGTTAGAGTGTCGGCCCATAGACTGAAGGGGCTCGGGTTCGATTCTAGTCAAGGGCATGTACCTCAGTTGCAGGCTTGATCCATGGCCCCAGTTGGGGCGCATGTGGGAGATAATTAATCCATGTGTCTCTCTCACATTGATGTTTCTATCTGTTTCTGCCCCTCCCTTTCACCCTCTCTAAAAATCAATGGAAAAAAATATCCTCAGGTGAGGATTAACAACATACACACACACACACACACACACACACACACACACACACATATATACTAGAGGCCCGTTGCACGAAGAGATTCGTGCAATAGGCCTGCCCTTCCCCTGGCTGCCGGCACTGTTTTTCCTCCAGCACCCGGGACCCAGGCCTTCACTCCGGCCACAGCGGAGAAGCCAAGCTTCTTCAGCCTTCAGTCTTTGCTCCGCCGGAGCCTTCAGTCTTCGCTCCGCGCCTGTGTATGCAAATTAACTGCCATCTTTGTTGGGTTAATTTGCATACTCATCCGATTGGCTGGTGGGCATAGCAGAGTGACACCAATTTGCATGTTTCTCTTTTATTAGTATATATATATATATATATATATATATATATACCCTTTAGAATAATAAGTACACAAAACTATTTTCTGAAATTGTGACGAATACATCTCCAGCTCACCAGTTCACAGACTTCACAATAATCATGAGTAAATTGTTGAAATTGCACATTATTTTATGGACTCTGAAGTAATAAATAAGAGTGTTGTTGAAGAGTTTCTTTATCAGTAATATGAAGAAACTTTGTAGAAGCCTTCTTCATCCAGTGGCATAAGATACCATCCTTGCCCCCACAGAGCTCACAGTTTTAGTTGGGCAGTGGAGGAGGAGCAGGAAATAAACATAAATATAATAATCAAATTGTATAGTATGCTAGAAAGTCATAAGTCTATGGGGGGGCGGGGAGGAAAGGGAAGAAAAACTAGAGCAGAGTAAAGGAGATCAATGGTTCCTGAGGGAAACGGGGCAGGGACAAGCCACAGTATTAAATAAGGTGGATAAGCCTCATTGAGAAGTTGAGGTGTTAGCAAAACTTGAAGGCAATGAGGGAAATAGGCAAATGTATATTTAGAGAAAGAGCTTTCTACATGAGAGAAAGAAGTAGAAAGTGACTTCAAGGATTTGGGCTTGAAAAAGTAAGAGGAAGGAGTTGTATCAACTGAAACGGAAAAGCTGTGGTGAAGTAAGTCTGTAGGGGTAAGATCAGGACTTTAGTGTTGGATATGCTGGGTTTGAGATGGCTATTAGATTTCCAAGTGAAGATGCCAAGTAAGCAGTAGAACATACTTGTCTAGAGTTCAAGATAGAAATGTGGAGAAAATAGAAATGCACATCAATGACAGAATCATACTAGTTCAGTGCTTTTTGTACCAAACAGGACCAGATAAATTTGGAAGAATTAAAAACTGAGTTTCATGAAAATGAACACAATAGAAATGAATAGGAATACTCTGAACAAAAAAGTGGAGTTAGAAAACATTTCTGATTAGAATTTTTTTCAAGACTTTCCAAAAAATATAAATATTGCAGCATTCAGTTGTCTCAAATTGACATATTTGCTTTTTTAAGGTAGCAGTCGATTTTCTGAGGATTTATATATTATTTCTCATGCTATTTTCCATTATCTCTTTTTGTTTGCAGGCTACAATGATTATGGAACACACACATTTTCAACTGCATAAATAAATGAAACCAATTCTGCAGGAAATTATGCAACATAGAGAATTCCAAAAAATTATCCACATGTGGATTTTTATTGGCCCTGATAATGTATTAGGATGAAATGATTGTAACTTTGCCAAACTGCTTAGCACAATTATAAGGGCTTGGCATGCTGTTGGAATGGTTTGCAGAGAGACTGAACTGATTACATGGTGTTTTATTTGCATTACATTAAATCCAGAGCACTTCTTAGAGCATGCTGAAACCCAAATGTAGAGCCAAAATACATTGAATGACATTAGTTGGATGTGGTCATCTTCTAAGAGCTAAAACAAAACACTGGAAATCCTCTGGTTCTTTATTTTATAGCAAAGAAAATTCAGTTGCCTAAAGTCACCAGGGCCAGAACTGTGTGAAATACCCAGGCCAGTGTGCCTTTAGTCATATGTTGCTGCTTCAATGTGTCATAAAGACTTAGAATTTACTTCTTTTATTTTTTTTTCATTATCTTTTTGCAGGGTTTTTTCCGGAGAACAATCAGATTGAAGCTTATTTATGATAGGTGTGATCTTAACTGTCGGATCCACAAAAAAAGTAGAAATAAATGTCAGTACTGTCGGTTTCAGAAATGCCTTGCCGTGGGGATGTCTCATAATGGTAAGTGAACACTTAGCACCACATACTTTATTATTCCCTTATGGCTGCCAGATCAGTAGAGATGAAGGCCGTTGATGAAAGTGTGCACAGTTTCTCCACAGAATGCCAGATTTCAGAATATTGCATACTGACAAAGCATTTCTCATTTAGATGTGAGTTTTTAAGCTGTTAGTGCAGAATCCTCTCTGGTTGGGCATCTGCCATGATGAGAGAAAAGACTTGAAAATCTGGGGAAGTGATGGAAATGACTATAGTATTTTAAAACAAATGTAAGGATAGTTGTAATTTTTTTATGTTGCTTTAATAGTATTAAAAACAATTATACTTTACTTCTGTGTATCAGTAGTTTCTTTCTAATTTTAATGTAAGAAAATCTTGAATATGGAACTTTAGGTGGCTTCTCAGAATTTAGATGTGTTTTTTTTTCCTCTTCACTATGCAAAGATGAGTGTAGGTATAGCAGTAACTTTGACTTTGAGCAGCATGCAAACTTGTGGATAAAGAAATATTTTAAAGTTCCACAAAACTTCAGTGTCCATAGACACATAAGAGAATAAAACTTTCTACTTTTTAAACTCATATCAAAAACCAAGCTTATGATTTAGAGTGTCTACCTTGGGGAAGAATGTAGAAGACCTTGTTTTCATGAACTGTAGAACTAACTCAGTAAAATCATGGAAGATAGGCCTGTTTGAAGAAATAGTTCTTGATTTCTATTTAGCTCTGACTGGTTAACTAGCTCACAAAACAAATTTTGACATAATAATGTTACTATATTTTTCAAGTATTAGTTTTTTAAGAATTATGAGCTCAAGAAATGTAAAATGTCAAAGTGATCAAATTAAATCCAAAGTCTCATTTCGTTGGATATCCTGTTTTTTCTTTCTTTTGCCTTTATCTGATATCAAAACTGATCTGGTAAGAGGATAATCTTTAAGTCAGTCTTCATCTGTAAGAACTCCAAAGCATCTGTGAAAATTAAATTTTTGCTCCATCATGCTGATGTTTGGTTTTCACAGTGGAAATCATCAAGATATTTTGGAATCATTAATTGGTTGATACTTTACCCTTTAAAAATAGTTTACAAAATTATATTTTTATCATTAATATTGGTTATTTGCTCTAAAGGCAAGATAGTGTCGCTCAGTGGCTGAGTGTCAACCCATGAACCAGGAGGTTGCAGTTTGATTCCTAGTCAGGGCACATGCTGGGGTTGTGGGCTCAATCCCCAGTGGGGGCGTGTAGGAGGCAGCCAATCAATGATTCTCTCCCATCACTGATTTTCTATCTCCCTCCCTTCCTCTCTAAAATCAATAAAAACACTTTTTTTAAAAAAAGAATGTATTCTGAATAGATCTATTAGCTATAGTAGACAGGAAGAAAATTTGGTCTAATTTTTCTCAACGGTTAATCACATCTGCTCTATAGCAATATACAACTTCAGTCATTGATTGCCAAATAATTTGCTATTTTAATTCCATCTATTTCCTTTTTATTTCAGACCTTATAAAACATAAGGGCATGTTTTCAAGTCATGGGTTAGATTTTAGGTGATGCAATCAAGTTGCAATAAACTTAATTTATCTTTATGAAAAAATCTCTGATTTGAGATCATTATCTATAAAACTGCATAGGAAAGCATTGCCAATTCTGCTTTTAATTGTATTTCTTTTTTGTCCTTTAAAAAATTGTCATTTTACACATTGATATAAAATATATTTCCTATTGCTTGTACATATTCATGTAAAATATATGTCCCATTTCTCACTGTTTATAGGGCCAATAATATTTAAAGCCCAACCTATGTGTTATTTAGGGTATAATTTTCTCTTCCCAGAAAAGTCAAAGAAAGCTATCATGAACTGAATAAGGTTATCTTTGGACATCATGTGACTATTAAAGGAATTAAATATCATGGCATCAAAGGCTTATGCAGTTCAACACTTACAGGATTGCACACATGACTAAGAAAATCCCTTCCCAGAGGCTTTTATGGTAATGTGTTTGCTGCACAGAGAAGAAAACCATTTAATTTAACACAAGAAGGGAAACTCAACAACTAGATTTTGATTAGTTTTGCCTGTTTTCCTGATGAAGAAAACATTTTCAAATACAAAGTTTTCTAGGAAATCTTAGTAGCTATTTAAATTCATTGCTTTGGCCGATATGAGGCCAACAGTAATGAGGTTTCCATTCATATAAAATTCCTTTTTGTTATTGTTGTATGTGAATGAACAATATATGCAGAGCCAACGCATATTATTTTATTATTTACTTCATACATGAAAAGCAGCTCTGAATATGAAACATTGACTAGTCAAAATTCTTAATGACTAAATTATCTCATAAAAAATAAAGAAGGACCATTTAAAAATATGATTAATGTCAAAGATTTTGACAGCAGAACTTGAAACAAACATTACACTTTGAAAATCTATAAAAATTTGCGAGTGCCCATTGACTGAAGAAGGAATATTAATCTATGAGACGTAATGTAATAACCCACCAACTTATCAAAAGAGGCTCCTTATGTTATACCAAAATCAGCACCTTGCTGTTTTCAGAATGTACAAGAAGAGATGAACATCCCCCAAAGTAAATTTACTCCATTCTGTGTTACTTTTATTTTTGCTCTTTGGTCTCTGTTTAGTCTATTCTATGCATTTAGCTTCCACATTAGCTACCCACTCCCAGCTTTGAAGGAGGCTTCTGAAGTAACCTTCAAGGACCCTAAGAACCCTGGGGAGTGTTGTTCGAAAATCACTGAAATCAGTGATTGCTAAGTTCCTTCAACTTCGAAAATTCTATGATACTACGTAAGTCAAGCAACCTGCTTACTGAATTTTTCACTTTTCAATTAAGCTATTCTGTATCTTATCGACAATGTCACTGTCTTTCTAAATATTTAGGCAACTGGTTATCTGTCAATTGCCTGAGTTTAAAAGTTTTCATCTATATGCTTTGGTACCATAAAAATATAATTCATATGCCTGAATCAGGTCTTCTGTATATTCCAATCAATTGCTCAGTAACTTAGGGCAATACATTTGATGATTGCATAATGATGTAGCCCCAGAGTACAAATTTAAAGCAGTCCAGACTAAAGAACGTATGAATGGTATGGTTGGATAATAGTATATGGTTTTACCTGAAGATAGAACCTGTATTTTGATTGTAGAAGGGCATGATTTCAGCATTCTTCTAACTGGAAACGTAGTTATTTCTCAAATACCCATTTCCAGCACTGGATGGAAAAAGCACCCAGTTGTTAGGCTGAGGTGCTCTGGGAACAAATTTTTTGTTTTTCTGTAATTATCAAAATGAACACATGTTGCCATGATTTTGGTCATTTAATAATCCATCAGTTTTAGACCGTGGGCTGATTGCTCCAAAGTTTTCCTGAATTGTCTTAAGCATAATCAGTTCAATACCCTGTCCAGACACCTTTAGAGGAAGGCTCCAAATGCAAGTAAAGCAGAAATAAAGAGGCAACTTCCTGGGCTACCCAGAATTAACTTACTAAGGGGTTATTGCATCAGCTGCTATTTGTTTTATATTTTGAGTTAGTGAAGCTGGTATCTACAGAATCTTGAGAAAAATACTCTCATAGATTAATATTCCTTCTTCAGTCAATGGACACTCACAAATTTTTATAGATTTTCAAAGTATAATGTTTGTTTCAAGTTCTGTCAAAATCTTTGACATCAATCATATTTTTAAATGTTCCCTCTTATTTTTTTTATATATTTTATTGATTTTTTACCGAGAGGAAGGGAGAGGAATAGAGAGTTAGAAACATTGATGAGAGAGAAACATCGATCAGCTGCCTCCCGCACCCCCCCCCCCCGCCCCACACACACACACACGGAATGCGCCCTCAACCAAGGCACATGCCCCCGACCAGAATCGAACCTGGGACCCTTCAGTCCGCATGCCAACGCTCCATCCACTGAGCCAAACCAGTTAGGGCATATTTTTTATGAGATAATTTAGTCATTAAGAATTTTGACTAGTCCGTGTTTCATATTCAGACTTGCTTTTCATGTATGAAGTAAATAATAAAATAATAAGCGTTGGCTCTGCATTTAAAAAATAATGTGATGTAGCAAAGAATTGACTTATGGTACTTGAGTCATTCATCTAGGTTTTACCCTATACCATTGAGATTTGACTAAAAATTATGCTTTGCATATATATAAAATTAGTGAAACCTTAGCTTTGCTGATTAGGATGTCCTATTATGTAAATAATGGGGTTTCCTTTTATTTAAAAAAAAAGCTGACAACTTAAAAATAATTTCTCAGTGGCTTCATAAAAATTCAGAAAAGTGGTTTTATAGATAGTTGTGGCACTCAGCATTTTTAAGATAGTTTCCTCCTTCCTTGTAAACAGAAGCTTAGTGTATATTGCAAAAAGAAAAAGAAAAGAAAATCTCAGTGGCAAATGAATTTAAACTTCAACATGTTACTCTTTCTTTTCTTTAGTCTTCTTTGTGGTATAAATTACCCAAATGTTAACTTCTAGGGAACTATAACAGAGTAAAAAGTCCTAATGCACAGGGCAGCTATGATACTCAAACCTGCATGGCCTTCATGATGGCCCACTCTCTAGCCTCCACCACCTTATCCCACTGCTGCTCTTTTTCACGTATATTTCAGGCAAACTGTGTTCTTTGTTATTCCTGGAAAATGCTTGTGGGTCTTTGTGTATTATGTTCTTTGGTTCCCTGTCAAAATTCTATCTGGCATTCAAGGCCCAGTTCAAATGGCTTCTCTTCCATAAGACTTTTAATTTCCCATTCTTCCCCTTCTCTTGTTTTATAACTTTCTCTGACACCACATTGTGCCTCATAAAGCAAAGGAGTGATCATATCTATGTTACCAAAAACCAAACTACTATAAGCAGCAGTAAAAAGGATATATGAAAGGGGGAGCAAATCAAGGAAGTTTACCAGAACACCCATGCAAAATTATGAACTAAGACATTGGGATGGGTAAGAA